CCAGGGCCACAGCAGCAGTCTGAGTAACTGACTTCTGGCCACAGACTGACATTTTTCACCCGTAACAAAGTGACCTTGCCACAGATAACTGCTGAGCTTAATAGGGTAAATCCCCACTGTTATTTTAAAAAATACTTAGAGGCCAGACATGATGTGACATGCCTGTAACCTTAGCACTTGGGGATCTGAGGCAGAAAGAGGGATTTGAGACTAGCCTTGGCTACTTAGGGAAACCCTTTTCCAAAAACAGAAAGAAAATAGTATTTATTAGTGTGTGTAACTGTACACAGGTTTGTAGGAATTTGGAAAACATGAATATGCAAAAAAAGAAATTTAAATAACCCATAATCCTACTACCCCAAATCATCAACACCACTATTAACATTTCCTTCCTGGTCACTGAGCTTGGCATTTTCACCAAGTTATGATCACGTTTCATGCTAACTCTGACTTTATGTTGCTTCAGAACATAACCTTGCATAAATATGTGCGTGTATGTGCACGTTCATATAAGGATGTGCACGCACGTGTGTGTAGTGTCTAGGAGGCAGCACCTCAGTATTCGTCCTTACTCTTTAGCTATCACTCACTCCGGGCATTTTTGTTTGGTGGTTTTGGTTTTTCAGTTTCATTTGTTTTTATTATACTAGTTTGTGGAGGGGGAGGGGTGCATGTAGGTTCTTTCCTTCCCAGCACTGAGATTACACAGTTGCACCACCACTGCCAGCTTTTTATGTAAGTTCTGGGGTCAAACTTCGGTCTCCACGGTTGCATAGCAAGCACTTGATAGATGGAATTGTCTCTCTAGCCCCTGGTTTTTAGTTTTGAGAGATATTGTTATTGTGCTAGTCCACTTCCTAGCACTGTAACAAAATACCTGAGGCAATTAGCTTGCAAGGAGAAAAAGGGTTATTTGGCTTACAGCTTTGTAGATTTCAGGCCATTGTCATTGGACCCTACTGCTTCGGGTGAGGCAGTGCATTACAGTGGGGAGCATGGGACAGGACAAGCCTGTATGTACTCCCTGACACTCCAGGCTAAGCTTCACAAGAGGAAGAAGTACAGCCCTGGGTATAGAGCAGAGCTTCACTCCTTGATTCCAGATTAAAGCTGTACAGACGACACACTGTGGATTTCTGATCCTGCTCTCGTAGTCTGTTTGGGAAACGGTAACGACAGGAGGGCAAATGGGTCCCAGGGGTGCCTGTCACCAAACTCTGAAGTCCACCTCGGGGATTCTGGCCTGTGGGAAGGCCCGCTTACTCCACCAGGCGCCTTCCAGATGCCGCATGGTGTGCAGACTGTGCTCCCTGCAGCCCGTTGGGCTCTGGCCTGGAACTAAGAGGACGGTTGCTTGTTTGCTTACCCGTATGAGAACATGCTGGCATTCTCTGAGGACCAGGACAAGCCTGTGGAGTATGGGAGGCTGCCACCAGATGGAAAGGAAGATGCCAAAGGAAGGAAGCTTAGGAAATAGGGTATACCAGGGCTTAAAGCTGAGGAGCAGCCCTCAGCCTCACACATATTAAGCTCATGTGTCTCTGAGTCAGAAATAGAGTGGAGGGGCGGGACTGACTTTGGGGACCCAGAGAGGGCAGCAAGGGACAAGCCAAGGCAGAGACCATAGGAGATGTTGCCACTCAGAGTAGAGGCAGCTGGGTCATCCCAGAGTGATCATGGCCACCTATAGCATGATTCCTTTGACTATTTGGCAATGAGGAACAAGGAGGAGGCAGACCTGTTTATCCAAGACTGGTAGTACCTAGCAAGAGAAACCCCTAAAATGCTCTCCAGGGAGTGACACCCTTTCCTCTCCATCACCCCCGTGCAGGGGTCCTTTCCTCTTGGTGATAGAGAACTTCAAGTGTCTCTTATTGCTTTGGAGGCATGACATGGCAAGTGGCTTAGGTAGGAAGCACCCCAAAGGCTCGTGTGTTGAAAGCTTGGGCCCCTGCTGGTGGTGCTATTGAGAGGGGACTAAGGGAGCTAACTTCATCAGTGGGTTAGCCTGTCTGTGAGTTCACAGCTGAAGGGTTATTAGGGCGGAGACTCTGGGCCACCCGGAAGCCTAGCGCCGCCGGCAGCCTCAGTCTTGCCAGGCTGGTATTCGGCAGGGAAGATGAGGAAGTTTTGGTTCCTGTCAGGTTTCTGGCATCCCCAAAGCTAACCGAAAGTTTGTTCAAACTTGTGATGAGGGCGCTAAAACAAACAGGAAGTCCAGGATTGTAGAAATGACAGCCTAGGAGCCTGCCTGCCAGAAACAGTGGCCTGCTGGGTGGAGAGCATGGTCAGTGTGACCTGGCTTCCTTGCCAGGCCCTAAAGGCAGGCTCTGTCCTCACTGGCTGTTTGCAGAAGTCCCACTGCAGTCTGCAGCTTTGAATCTATCACTACATGGACCCTCAGTGTTTCACCTATGTGTGATTGTTAAAGATTTATTTATGTGCATGAGTGTTCTGCGTGTGTGTGTGTGTGTGTGTGTGTGTATGTGTATGTCTCTGTGTGTGCCTGGTGCCCTAGAAGCTAGAAAGGGTTATCAGATCCCCTGAACTGGAGTTATAGGCATTTATGAACTGCCACATGGGTGCTGGGAACCATTATTTGGATTTTCGGGAAGAGCAGTAAATGCTCTTAACTGTTGAGCCATCTCAACTGTTGAGCCCCTGCTTCATCTAGTTTGGATTGAACGATAATTAACTTCAGAAACAAGGATTAATCAGAAAAGATAACAGAGAGAGAAGGGAAACAAAAACTCTAGGAACAAATTCATGTACACATGGCGTGCGCGTGCGTGCGTGTGTGTGTGTGTGTGTGTGTGTGTATGTGTGTGTGTAGGTAAGCTGTCAGCTAGGGACAGCATGGAGGTGTGGGCACATATGGTCCAAAGCCCCAGCATGTCAGAGGAATCCCTCCACACAGTGTTGGGGACAACTCTCTGAAGCCCCAGATGTTGTGCCTCAGAGCAAGCAAAACAGGTTTGTCCACAGCATGTGATTCAAATACCATGCTCAGGGCCAGGAAAGTGTTCCTGCAAGTCTGATCCTGGGGAAAGCAGGAAGCTGGCCTACCTCCGAGCACACTGTGTCCCCTCCAGCTCCCCTCGGCTCCTCAGAGTTCTCACTGCAGGTAGGCCTGACCACTGGCTCTGGCCCACAACACTGACGGCAGCTCTCTTCTCCGTGCAAGGTCCCTCCCCTCCTCAAGACAGGCTTTCTCTTTGTAGCCCTGGCTGTCCTGGAACTTGCTTTGTAGACCAGGCTGGCCCGGAACTCAAAGAGCTCCATCTGCCTCTGTCTTTGGTAGTCTTAACAGAGTGTGCCACCATGCCTGGCTGCATCTTTTCAATTGTCTGTCAATTTTAGAGTTCTTTGTCAGACAGGAATGATGGCATTTGCCTTTAGTCTCAGCACTCAAAGGACAGAGGCAGGTGAATCTCTGTGAGTTTGAAACCAGCCTGGTCTACATAGCAAGTGTCAGTCGAGCCAGGACTATATAGTAAGACCCTGTCTAGGAAAAAATAAAATCTTAGTCATTGCATATTGCATTTAATTTTTCCCATTTTGTGTTTGGAGAAAGCAAGAACCTAGAAACACCAAACCTAGACCCTAAGTGCCCATAACATAAGCGTCATAGAGCTAGGCTTGCCTCACGTCTCCTTTGGGCTTGGTGGATGCCCTTAGTAAAGAGTTTCCACGGCAGGGCTCACTCCGCAATGTGGCTGTAGGCCTGCAAGCCGGGAGTCTGACTCTGGCGCCCTCTAGCGGTGACTATGGGAAACCTCGGAGGCCATTGAAAACATGACTGAGCTCTTTACAGAAATCATGGGTGGCACATGCCTTTTATCTGAGCACTTGGGAGGCAGAGGTAGGCAGATCTCTGAATTTGAGACCAGCTTTGTCTAAGGAGTGAGAGTTCTAGAACATCCAGGACTATACAGAGACTCTGTCTTGAAAAACAAAACCCAACAAAATAAAAAATAGTCTTTACTTGTTTCCAGATCCAGAGGAGTTAGGATCCAGAGCCAGTTAGGAGTGCTTATATGGCACCTCTTCATACCAGTGAAGAATGCTGAGTATGCATTAATTTTATAAGTCCTTTCAAGGACTTTTTAGAGCCATGGTGGCACCATTTAGGCGTGATGGCACAAGCCTTTAATACCAGCACAATGGAGGCAGAGGCAGGCAGATCTCCTTGAGTTCAAAGACAGCCTGGTTCATAGAGTGAGTTCCGGTCAGCCAAATGTATATGTTTGGTTTTTAAGTTTTGCTTGTTTCTTTTGTTTTGTTTGTTTTGATGGGTATGGAGCTAAGGGCCTTTTGAATTCTAGGCAGATGCTCTGCCGCTGAGCCATCTCACCAGTCCTTGATATTTCCTTACAGTTATTTTTACAAGAATCTTTTAAAGTTATACTTACGCCTGTGTCGTCCTGTCTGAATGCATAGCACATGCATACAAGTGTCTAAGGGGGCCAGGAGAGGGCATCAGGTCTCTATTAGCTGTCCTCTTCTTATAGAAGAACCCAGGTCTTCTATAAGAGCAGTAAGTACTCATAACCACTGAGCCATCGCTCCAAGACCTGAATTTTTATTTTTAAAAGGCTGACCTCTGACCTCTGCAGACGTGAATCACAGACTCTGTGCTTTAGAACACATCTAGAGGTGGTGCCCCATCCACCTCTTCTTCTGTCACTCAGCAGAGGGTCCCTACTGTTTGCCCCTGTTGTAGCATGTATGAGTGCCTTCCTTTAGGAGGCTGAATGATTCCCTTGGGTAGCTTGTCTGTACATGGGCTTTTAGGTCCTCAGTTCCCATCCCTGTACCCTGTACCACAGAGTAGCAGGCCTGCCATTCTTATTAAAGGCCCTCTGGATGCCTCTTGTATGTCAGGCTGAGGCCGGTGGGTGGAGGTAAAGCCGAGTTTCCCACCTTCAAGGACAGCCAGGGGGACCAGGGGGTCCGGTGGCTGTGGTGACACCTCTCATTTCCGGTTGTGTGGCCCTCAGCTTCCAAAAGCTGTCGAATTCCCAGGTGAAAGGGCATGATCATTGGGCACGGCTGCGGAGGCACTCCATTTTCCTCCAGAAAGAAAACTTAAAGAAGTGACCAGCCTGGGACTCCAGAGGAGTCTCCACATTGTCAGCCACTCCCAGGGACACCGGAAGGCAAAAGGCAATGACAAAGAGCCATAGCTCAAAACCTGAGACCTCCGTGGAGCCAACAGGGTCAAGGTGTTCTGACGACCTTCAAATCCTAAGTGCCCCATGGGGGTTAGATGTGTCACTCAAATAAACAGACTGGCAGCTCCATGCATGTGGCTCATCATTTCCACCCAGTCCTGACTCCAGCAGGGCCCAGCTCCTTTTCTTTCCACATGTCTCCCACTCTAAGCAGTTCCTCACAGACCGTCTCTGAAGGGCTGGAGTTTAACTTAGTGGGAAAGTGTGCATGGAGCATCACCAAGAAGCCCTGGGTTCAGTGTCTCAGGAGAAAGAAAAGGAAGAAGGGCCGGAAGAGTGGAGGCGAGTGGTAGGGCCTTCAGGCCACACAGATTCGAGAGGGCTCAGGGCCTGGAGGGAGATGGTTCACTAGAAGGGGCTTGGTATTCTGGGGAACTTGGAAAAAAGAAAAGTGTGGCTTTCTTCCAGAAACTGCTTCTCCCAGGAAAAGACCCCACTCCTAGACCCTCAGGGTACTTTCTTTCTCTCTGGTGACACCATGTGGCCATGTTGAGAACTGTAGGAGGTTACATCCCAACCTGGCCATAGGCAGTCCACAGGTTCCCTTCTGGGTTCTGTGGGTTGACCTTGAAGGTTGGCGCTGCCACCTCGTGGTGCCCCATCCACCTCTTCTTCTGGGCCACATGCCTTTCCCTGGCTGGAGCTGATACAGAGCGGCCCAATGTCCCAGGATAACATTGTGTTCTGTCCTGTTCCTCAGTGGGAATAAGAACTCAGCACCCAGCTTCTCCCTTCCTCCCTCTCCACTCTCCTTCTTCCCTTTCCCTCCCACTCTCTTTCTCCCCTTGCCACTCCTCTTCCCTCCCTCTCTCTCCCTTCTCCTCCCTGACAGTGCTTCCTTGAGATGAGCTGGATGGCTTGGGACTTCAGCTTTGACCTAGGATAACATCCATATGCTCAGAGACAGGCCTCACGTGAGCCGTGTGCTTCACACATCAGCCCTTATGACTGTGCTTGGCTTACACAGGAGCATGCAGACCCAGTATATAGCTTGGAACAACCTCGAACGTTCTGATCAACTTTCCTACAGGCCAGAAACCTAGCTGCATTGCCACAGTCTGAGAGGCGTAGCTGGCTGGAGCAGCTGCCACCCACGAGTAGAGACACTCCTGCCCCGGGAGCAGTGTGGAGGTAGCATGGGAGTCACCCACTTCTCCCTCAGCCCCGCCCCCTTCAGCTAAGCTCTCAGCTGGGGTGAGCACTGCCGAGGGGAGAGCTATGGGAGGAAAGGTAAATGGAAGGGGCCTGCCAGCTGCCATGTCTGCCAAAGACACAGGCCCTCTTTACTTCCTGTGTGTGGGTAGAAGGGAAGAGAGAGCCTGAAATTCCAGGGTATTTTAGGTGTGACATCCATAATCAGGACCCAAGCAAAGGGGCCAGACCTGGCAAAGCCCACCCCAGGCTACGAGGGCTCAAGACACTATCTAGGGGTCAGCATGCCACCCACCGAGGAGAGAGCTGGTTCTGAGAGAGGTTCTTTTCCTAAATGAGAGACCCTGAGAAACATCAGGAGGAGAGCAGGATGATGTGCGCAGTGCAAAACTCAACCTGGCATTCACTCTCACGTGGCTGGTGCCAGGGAAGGCATGAATACAGCAGCCTGGCCTGGCCTTGGACAAAGAGGACTTTGTGGCTAGATGAAGCAGTCTCTCCCACCCCACCCCCACTCCCCTCTTCCAGTTTCAGAAACCGACTGCATTCTTCCTCGGATGGGCTTTATTCACCAGGTGTGGCCAGAAAACCCATGTGCAGCTGGTCTGAGCTTGGCCACTTTTCTCATTCTCTCTGAGGACCCCATTTCTCTTCTACCTGAAGCTAAGTCAAACTCTCCAGCCTGGCCAAGGACTGTCATCTGCTAATGAGGACACTTTTGACCACCACCCCTCTTCCTCTGCCCTGCCTTCTTCAGATAACAATGGCTTAGGTATTAGTTTTAGGTATATGGGTGTTTTACCGGAATGCTTGTCGGGACACCACGAGCATGCCTAGTGCCAGTGGAGGCCAGAAGAGGATGTCAGACTCTGGTTACAAACTGTAACTGAAGTTTATATACAGTTGCAAGCCACCATGTGGATGCTGGAAATCGAACCTAGGTTCCCTGGAAGATCAGCACGTGTTCTCAACCACTGAGCCAAGTCTCCAATCCCTTTCTTGGCTATTAAACCATCAGCTTGGCTGCTGCTCCTTAAAACACCGGCTCATCAGGACCCACATAGTACATCTGCCTTGGCTTGGACCAGCCCCACTCTGCCTACACTGCTGGCCAGGGTGCCCTAGAGCTTGTGTTCTGTGCTTGCTTGGTGCAAATGCAGGTGCCACGCCCGTGGGTGTGGTGGCCAGCCGTGTGGTCATCCCAGACCCCAGTAGCCCCACTTTAGGAGACATCTCTTGTGTGTGTGTGTGCGCGCGCGCGCTTGCGTGCGCGCGTGGGGGCATGTACATGCTCCTGCTTCCTGATCTGCACTTGCCAGGCAGCAACAGGCACCACCTTACTCACATAGTTGGGGTTTGTGGACACTTAGCGTGGCCAGCAGCCACTGCTCTGCGTCACTGGTGATCCTTCACCACCCAGCTCAGCTGGAGGAGGGAGAAAGCAGCTCCCTCCCTGGAAGAAAGGCAGCAGGGTGCAGAGTGGGCTGGCCCTGGCTCCATGCCCAGGTGCCCATGTGATTGTGCCAGTACCCAGCTTCCTGTCGGAAGCCCTGACCTTTCCAGACCCTGCCAAAGACTTGGGAGTTTGGGTGCCACCTGACACACGGGGCCCTGGAGTCAATCCGAGTGCAGACAGTTGGCATCTGTTAGAACCTCATCCTTCCTTATAATGGCCCATCACCAAGCTGGTCCTGTGACTGAGATAACCTCTTAGACTGGCTGAGAACTGGAGTGACAAGCTCCCCCACCATCGGGCTTGGGGGTGCCTTCCTGGGTGCAGGATTCACTAGAGACTGGCACTTGGAGTTTCCTCCAGGTGCTGATTGGGCCAGGAAGGGGGGATGGGGCCTGGGAGCAGTGGGAGGTGACCCTTTTCTATGAACAATCTTGTGTCTCAGCCACTATTAGCAGGGATCTGTTAATGAAAATTCACACCCAGGTGCTAATAAACAGAGGGCTGCTCCCGGGACCCCTCAGAAGAGAGGCCCTCCACAGGGAAGGGGGCTGGCCAATGAGTTCCACTTATCTGAAAAGACTTGCTAATAACTTTAATTCCCCATCCTAAAACATTGGGCCTTTACTTTGCAAATAGATTTTCTACACTGGGTTGGCTCCTAGGCCAGGAAGACTTCCTATCCAGAGTCAGTTAAGATACTGGGAGGGGAGTGTCACATGGAGTCAGAAGTGCCAAGAAAGGGAATGAGCAGTGAAGGTGTGAGGTCCCCCACCTTAGTGACCCTCCCAGCGGGTCACCCTTTCTGCAGCCTGCTCAGACCTGGACTCCTGAGCTGCAGGACAGGACCCTGACCCCACACTGCATGCCCTCCCCTCCTGGCGTGAGCCAGACTGCTAGAAAAGATCCCCCAAGTGATTTTAAACAAATCCACAGAAGAGTGGATAGTTGTGAAGGAGCATGTGAACAATGCAGCATTGAGTAACTAAACTAATCTGGTGACCTTGAAAACATGCACTTCTTTTTGTTTGTTTTGTTGTTTTTTGAGACAGGGTCTCTATGTAGACTTGATCTCCAACTCCCTATATAGACCTGGATGGCCTTAAACTAAAGACATCTGCCTGCCTCTGCTTTCCAAGTGCTGGAATCAAAGGTGTGCCACCACATCTGGCCAGTAGTTTCTTTTTGAAGGCAATAAAAAATACGCTAAAATTATGGGGCTAATTGCACAATTCTGTGACTCTGCCAAAGTCATCCAGATGTGCTTTTGAAACAAGGATGAGAGCCTCTTGTGGTGGCACACATCTGTCCTCACAGCACTCCCCTGAGGTGAGGGTAGGAGGACCAGGAGTTGAAGGCCACCTCTGGCTGGATGAGACTCTACCTCAGAAACAAAGTGAGCTTTGTGATGTATAGCAATGTTTATTAAAAGAAACAAATAGCCAGACCGGACTTCCTGACAGCTGGGGGGGGGGGGGGTCGCCCCTGAGAACGGGCACTTCCAAGAGCCTCCTGAGCACAGTGCCCCGACTGGACTCTGCGGCCTCCTGGTTGGTTGATGCCAGTCCCTTTCTGGGCTCCAGGTGTACTTCTCTCTTCCTGATCTGAATTTCAGCAGCACAGGTCAGAATCAACAGGTCCTTCATCCCATCCCAGCCAGGCCTCAAGGAGCCATGGTCACAGCAACTGGAACTCCCCCACCGATGTTAAATCTCCAGGCCACAGGGGAGGGAAGCCAAGACACTGTGGATGGGAAGCTGCAGCATGGGAGAACCTGGTCTGGGGATGATCCCCCTGGTGAAGCTCAGCTGACCGGAAGAACAGCCATGCCATGATCCTCCCGCAGCTGAACACTCCAATGCCCCAGCCCTACTACATGGGTCTGAGTCTCGACCTTTAGAGCGTCTGTGAAATATATGCAAAGGAAACCATGGTACAATACACACTGATGGAGTTGTATTTTCTACCGAAGTAGTCTGGTTTTATCCAGTTCCTCCCTAAACTAGAAAAATAAAAATAACTGCTTCCTGCCACCTTCTTGCAGGAAGCCCCAACTCCACTCCCCCCCCCCCCCCCACCTCCTTCAGACTGACCCATGCAGAATAGATATTGGCCCGGATGAAGGTAGAAGGAAGGGCTCTGCGGCTTTGTTTCCCATGTCAACTTTCCTGACACATACCAGAACTGCCAGCACGGTGTGGGCGCTCCTGCTTATACTCCCACCATGAGTTTGGGCCAGCTTGGACCATACAGTGTGAGCTCCTAGCCCACCCCCACCCCCCAAAAGGAAGAAAGAAAAAGCCCTCCAGATGATTCCAGCACAAACGGTTTATTCACAAATAAATAAATACACACCAGGCAGAGCCTTGTACCCGCTTCAGCTTTGGAGCATTTACCCTACGGGTCGGTCCCTCCTCCCAAGGAAGGTTGGAAAGGTACGGTCAGCCCCCACCCCGGGGAATGCCCATGTTGGTATTCTTCCTGGTGCCTCTCCCAGGAAATATTCGCTTCGAAGGTGCAAAGGCAAAAAGAAAAGTCTCTGTGCTCAGACAGGGCGCCAGTCATCCACTGCATTGACGCTTCGTCTCTTCAGGCTGGTGGCCACTCCTGAGGCGTCCAGGTTTCTAGCAGAGCCAGCACGTCGCTGCTGAAGAGCTGCAGGAAGGGTGAACAGCGCCACAATCAACACCTGCCCCGGGGCCAGGTCCGCGCTCCTCCGCTCCACGCTCAGCCTTGCTGGAGCGAGTAACGCGTCCTTAATCCCTGCCTCCCAACCCCTGTTTGGGCATCCAGGGCACGCGGGGATGTTCGCAAGGGAAATCCAGCAGGGCAGGTCCGCGCCGCGGGGACAGTAGGGGGCGCCACCCGGACGGCGCGGGGAAGGGGCTCTACTCACCGGAGACGGGGGGCTGAGCTCCATCTCCTGCCTTTCCAGGGATGCTGTCTCGGCGTACAGGAACGCCGGGTCCCACGGCTCCGCGACGACTCGGGGTCGAGGGCAGGCGGGCGGGTACCCCCACGACACCCCGTTGAAGGCAGCAGGGTTCAAACACGGACCGAGCGCCTGCGCCTGCTCCGGGCTGCCGTCCGGACGTGGCGGGCAGCCTCGAGGCGACGCAGCGTGCCGCTGTCGCCGGAGACCGTCCTCGCTGAGGCCCAGCACGGCCGACAGGTGGCCGATGTAGCGGATGGCCAGGCGCAGCGTCTCGATCTTGGTCAGGCTCTGGCCGGTTGGCGCCACGGACGGCGGCAGGAAGCGGCGCAGCTCTTGCAGCGCGCGGGCGAGCGTGCGCATGCGGAGCTTCTCGCGCTCGCTGGCGCTCTGCCGCTGTCCGCTACCCAGGCGGCTGCCGTGGCTCCCGCGCCTACCGGGGTTCCCAGCGCGCCGGGCCGGCTGGGTGTAAGGTGGCGCGGGGCTGCCGGCCTGGGCACCGTCCCACGAGTCCGAGGACCAGGTTGGGGAGCAGGCGCTGTCCCCGTCGGAGGGCATCGGCGGCTGCCGACTAGCGGGAGTCGGCATCCAGGACTCGGCGAGCGTTGAGCACAGGGGCTGGGCCATGTCAGCAGAGGCCCGTCCATTGGGATCCAGGCAGCTTTATCCTGAGGCAGAGGTGTGAAGTGGCTCCTTCCAGAACTCATCAGCACATCAAAGGCGGCTCGAGCCAGGAGGGGGCCAGGACCTGAAGCCTTTGAACCGAAAGCACGGCTCTTAGGTGCAGGCTCTTAGGTCCATCCTGCCTCAGCTGGGCCATATTTGGGGCCTCAGGAAGACGCGGTTATGGCCTGCAGTGCCCCGGGCATTAAAGCAGCCCTACAAGTTGAACGAACCATGCTCAGAGAATTGAAGTCCGGCTCCTAAGCTTAGGGTACACCTTCATTTATTAGGGACCCCCTTTTCCCCCATCACTTTAATTTACAAATTGGATAACAAGAGACTCCCGGATTGCATTGGGCAGCTGTTTACCAGGGTAGGAACCTCTAGCCATGGAAAGAACTGTAGTTAGTTCATTCCTCCTCAGAAGCCCGTGGCCCTTCCCTGATGGCCAGGCTGTGGGAGGCACGACAAAGAAACTATCTCAAATGGTGAGGTTGCTGGGTTGTCTGAGCAGGGGGAAAGGTGAGCTGCCGCCCCACACATCTTGGCAAGATGGAGGGCTTGGTCCCTTTTCCCAGCTCTCCTATGACTGGTGTTCTGCTGCAGGCGAGTGGGAAATCGGGTGACAAAACTCAACAGCCCTGAGCTGGATGCGGTGGCACCCTTGGGACGTGGAGGCAGGAGGATCAGGAGTTCAGGGCCAGTCCTACCTATGTATGGCTCAGGCTAACATGGGCCACATGAGATCCCGTCTCAAAAAACAGACAAAAAGCAGAAAGCTTCGTCTGTCCCATGGCAGTCTCACAATCTCACTATCCCACAGGGTGCTGCCTGCTAGGTCCTTGTGGGTGCCTTTTATTTCCCCAAGATTTATTTTTATTATGTGTATGTTTACATGTGTGCCCCCGCCTGTGCTGGTGCCCCACAGGCCAGAGGTGTCCCATTCCTCAGGATCTAGTCTTACAGGCAGTTGTGAGTTGCCTGAGGCGGCTTCTGGGAACTGAACCTTTGTGCTCTTCTTGGCTGCTGAGCTATCTCTGCAGTGCCCCCCCCCCCCACACACACACACATACTTTGAAACAGGGTCTCATGTAGCCCAGGCTAGCCTTGAACTTACTATAACCCACCTGGCCTTTACCCCCTAACCCTCCTGCCTCAGCTTACTGCGTGCTAGGATTGCAGTTGTGAGCCGCCAGGCCTGGCTGAGGATGTCCACTCTTACCACACCTGTTCAGTGTTGTCCTGGGTGGAGGGTCTAGGTTGGGACATGAAGAGAAAAAAAACAAACCTGTCCCTACTTACATGTGATATGCTTATTAACATAGTCTCGAGGAGTTGGGCATATGACACATGCCTGTAATTTCAGCGCTTGGAAAATGAAGGCAAGAGGATCAGGGGTTTGGGCCAGCCTTGGCTACAAAGTGAATGTTGACTATCCTGGGCTAACATGACTGTCTCAAAAGACCTACGAGAGGGCTAGTGGCATGGTTTAGTTAGTGGAGTGCTTGCCTAGCCTGCAGGATGCCCTGGGTTTTAGTCCCAACACTGCAGTTGTAGCACTGGCTTGTAGCACTGGGGTGGGGAAAAGGGAGGGCAGGGTGAAGACAAGTGGACCAGAAGTTCAAGTTCAAAGTCATCCTTGGCCTAGAGACATGGCTCAGTAGTCAAGAACCTGCTCAGCCAGGTTTCATGGCACACACCTTTAAACCCAGTACTTGAGAGGCAGAGGCAGGCAGATCTCCAAGTTAGAAGCCAGCCTGGTCCATAGAGTGAGTTCTAAGACAGCCAAGGCTACACAGAAAAACCCTGTCTTGAAACAACAAAAACAAACAAAGAAAGTACTGGCTGTCCTTCCCAGCACACACATGGTGGCCTGTGGCTCTCTGTGTCTACATTTCTGGGTTGCACTCTTCTGGCCTCTGGGCACTACACCTGCATATAGAACATGAACATACAGGCAGGCAAAACACACAGAAAACTGAAAAATATCCCTGACTGCGTCGTGGGTTTCAGGCACAGCTCAAACAAACCCTGGGCCTGCTGGGGCAGATCTGGGGTCAGCTTGAGAGGCTGACGCAGGAGAACCCCAGAGTTCTGCCCAGGTTACACAGTGAGATCAAGGCCAGCATGGGTAACTTAGTAGCTCTCTGTCTCAGAGTCAAAATGAGGCTGGTAGGGTACCCTCTTAGCATGCAGCCAGCAAGGGGCCTGCCTGCCGAGCCCCTCTGGCGTGAAGAGGAATGGCACCTCAGCTCTCCCAAGGCCAGGGGCCTGAATTTCTGTACCCCGTATGTATGTCTTCTACATGAATTCTGGTTTGTGGTGGTGAAGGCCCCATGCATTGGTACCTGATTCGCTGGGCATCTCTGCCCACTACCATCCCTTTGTCCATTGTCCCCTCTGCCTCCTCAAACGCTTCTCCATCCTTGCCTCTCTATCGGAAGATCCGTGCCCACAGTCCGAGTGTGAACTTGGGGACTGTGCCTCTGGATGGCACTCGGAGACCTGTTGTGTGCTGGGGCAGTGTGGGAGTGTGCTCAGTAGGGCCTCCCACAGGCAGGAGGGGTAAGGTCTCAGCTCTGAGGACACCCGAGTGTCCCAAGCACCCACCACCCGTGACTTCACATCGTGGCCAATAAACGGAGAAAATTCACTGAAAGACCTTGCGTCTTAATTTGAAGACACAGTAGATGAGCACGGCTTAAAATTAAAAGGTGGCCGGGCCCGGAAGGCAGAGTGAAGCCTGCTCCTGCCTGCCTGCTCCAGACCCAAGTGGCATCACTTATTGCCTGCTTCTTGTTGATATCGCTTTGAAGTGAAATTGTGTTTTATTAACTACAAAGTTAGCCAGACGTGTTTGGACAGGGGAGGGGCGGGGGACGCCGAGCTTCACTGAAGACACCACACTTAAGGAGCCTAAGCACTGAAACCTGTTTGCTAACATTGAGTATCAGAGACACATAGGGGTCGGGAACAGGAGAGGAAGGGCCGCTGTGAGTGGAGCAGGATAAGATGGCAGAGTCAGTGTAAGAGGACGGGGTTCGTGAGGTGGGGAGGGAGTCATAAGGACCGAGTGAAAGTCAGGGCAGATGGCAGGCCCTGCCTCCAACCCCCTCCCTGAAGTCTTGAGTCCTAAGACTAATATACTGAAGTGCCACGTGGAGTGTCCCCCCCCCCCCCCCCGCTGTTTCCCCTTCGGTCTCTGGGAAACCATCTCAGGGGCCCAGCTGCCACAAGGACAGTCCAGCCTCTGCTTCCCTCTGCCCCTTTGATCTCCTTATCTGGCCAGGGTCTTCAGTGGGCTCATTTGGGAGCTGCTTTGAGTTAATGAGTTCTCCAGGCTGCATGGCCCATACAGCCTCCCCGCTGGGCCAAGGCCTTCACACTTTTGGAGCCTATGTTTTGACAAGTGCCAGAGCCAGTGGCTCCTGCTCCCCTGGCCCGAGCCTCCCCCTGTTGCCAATGTGTAAGGCTGGGAAATGAGGCCTCTCCACCACCCCACCCAAACAGAGGTTGAGAGTTCAAGCCTCAGCCCAGTAGGGGCCAGGCAGGCCATGGAGGCCCCCATCTCAGCCTTCCTGCTGGAGAGCCTGGGCCCCACACTCCCACCCACCCTGCAGCCTCAGTGCCCTCATTTCCCGGCTAGCCCCTCTGACATAGCCTTGCTAATCAAAGGTGCTATGCGCAAGTACCTTGCAGTCTCTAATCCCCGACCGTGCCGGAGCCAGAGGCCCCAGGAGAAGGAAGCTGCTCTGTTTCCACTGCCAGCCCGCTTAGCATCCTCGGATACCGCTAATCAGAGTGTCTCAGGCAGCCAGGCTCACGGGCTGTCTTAGCACCAGTGACTCCTGGGAGAGCCGAGGCCTCCCAGGTGGAGTGTGGCCAGTGTCGGTTAATGTTCTTGTCTTGCTCCACACTGCCTGTGTCAGTCGAGGAGGGGCCCCTCCGCCATGAGGGGAGAAGAGTTCAGCTCTGTGCCGTGGGGTCGGAGGATCAGACCTTGGAGCATGGGTCACACACATATTCTTTCCGAGTGTCACTGGGCTGGGCTTGTCAGGTGAAAACATGGAGCCTCAAGAGGTTGTCCCAGGTCAGAGCTAGGAGGGTCGGGGAAGGCTTCTGTTAGTCTATCTTGGGGCACAGTCTGGGCTTTGCTTCTTCCTCTCCACCTCCTGTAAAGGACATGAGCAGCTTCTTTCACCCCTGAGAGGGGTGTGTGTGTGTGTGTGTGTGTGTGTGTGTCGTCCTAGGAACCTCGAGCCCCCAGCAGGCCTTCCTTCACATACCAGAACCCTGAGAAAACATGGAAAGAAAGAGGTTTCCAGGCTCCAGCCAGAACCATCTGGGTCAGAAGTTCTGTGAGATGGAGCCCAAGAATTCAGATCTATAAAACCTGGGACTCACGAGATAGCTCAGGGTAATGCTGCCTGCTTCCAAGCCGGGCAGCTGGAGTTCGAGCCACAAGTTGTCCTTGACTGCCTCTCATGAACCTGCAAGTGTGTGTGTGTGCGCGCGTGCACCCTAGGCATACAATAACAATAAATATTTTAAAAATATCTTCAAAATTATGAAAGTATCACCCCACAATACAGAGACAGAAAAGGAGTTGAAGAGTGGCCAGCCCCTCCCCTCTTCCGGGTCCATCCTCCCTTGGGTCACAGAGAGATGAGGCAGGCCCAGCAACAGAGACCCTAACTTCTCCCTTCCCGGCCTCCTTCCCCATCGACCTCCCGACAACACTGCCCAATAAGGCTCTCTGAGGTTCCCTCAGCTCCCAGGGGAGCTCTTCCAACCAGACCCCCACCAGCCCCTCCTCACACCTTTAGTTCTTGGAGCCACTGAGCTGACACACCATATGGAATAGATTATTCTGGACCCAGGATAATCTGATTATCGTGGGCCAGTTGGATGCTCAGCCAGTGGCAGCCACAGGCAGCAGAGGGGTGATGAGGAGGGAGGGGGTG